CTTTTATTGCTTCCCTTACCATGACACTGTTGGCATGGGGCTTAAAGTAGGCGTGAGTTTTCTCCTTGTAGTATGACCCATGCAATGGCTTATTTCATTCTGGGGGTCTAATAATGAGAAGGAATAAATATGCTTGTATATATATGCTTGTATTTGAAAGCATATTTGTTCATTCCCTTGCCAGTGATGAGCCTTCGTCCCGTGGGCCAGCAGGTCTCTCGGGGCTGTGGAGCTGCATGAGGTCGGTGCAGGGCTCCCACCTCCCTCCAACCCGCTCTTACCTCACTATTCACTATAAAACTCCTTCAACACAGATCTTTGAGCAGCTTCACGAGATGCTATTTAAAACAGCAAGAAAACCACATCGTGATTGGGATATGTTTTCTCCCTCCGCATATTCATTGCCCCAGAAGTCTGTCTCGGTGTGAGGGATTTGGGACTTCGCTTACAACTTGCTTCCTCATGCAGGGACACGTCGGAGCCCCAGCACACGATACACATCCCTCGGTGCCACATGTGTAGGAACAGCGGCTTTGTACCGCTGAGACATGAAGCAGGAGGGAGGGAGTGGGATTTTCCAAAAGAGGGCACAGCACAGCTAGAAATAACTGCCTTTAAAGTAGTGACATTTTTATGCACAGAAGAACTAGCTTAAAACATTTTTAGAGGATTTTATAGATCCCTCTGAGCCCCGTACCACTAGATTCATCATATGAGGCACCTGTGCTACAGGAGGAAGATATACAAGAAATAACCTGATATACAGCTCTTGAGCTCTCTCAAACCTTCCCTAAATAGCTCTTTTTGTAACTGCAGGTAGCATATGCAAAAAAGCATGATAAATACCAGAAAGTTTGCCTGATTTTGCATTTCTCTCTAGGCTGCTAAAAAAAACCCCTCTCACATCTTCTTATATGCCCTTTCTGGAGTGATAGGTGTATCTTAATGCCAGTGGTTAATTTTTGCTGAGCAACAGGCCCCTTTTTATTCTTTTCAGTCCTCTGCAACAGAGCTGCCAGGAGCTTTTGGATTAGGCTTTATCAGGCTTGAGTTAGGAAAGCCTCGTGGAGGGTCCGTAGCCAAATACAACATAGAAATCAAATTATGGGAGAGATGAATGTGGAGTTATTAAATTAATTTTGTTTGTTCCAGCCCATTGGAATGTTTTTAACATGAAGAAAATAATTCTTTGCAGTGTGCCTGGCCTTGCCAGCACTGTATTAGCATGCTACATTTGCCTGCAAGCAGCAAGCAGGTTTTCTCCAGGCTCGAGTGAGCACTGGAGGATGGGGCTGGCCAGGGGGTTGGAGGATGGGGCTGGCTTGTCCCCTGCTGTCCCTGGTGGGATGGTCTGCAGTGAGGAGCCGGTGTCAACCTCCCTGGCAGCCGCACGTGTGGTCGGCCCCCTTCCCTCCAAGTGCACCCAATCCTTTCTTCATTGCAAGATGTTTCCAAAAAGCAGGAGCCAGCATGTCGCCAGGTGCCCAGCACGGATTATTCCTGTCCGTCGGCCTGTGAGCTTGTTATTTTTGCCCCGGGAGGTCCAAGATGTGGCATCTCCCGTGCCACGAGACGTGTCCCTGATGCTGTGAATGTGCCCAGCCCCTGAGCACTGCTGAGGGTCTGCCCCGGAGGAGGCTCTGCTGCCTCCCACAGCACCCGTTTGCCCTGGCACAGGAGCACCCGGCCGCTGCCGGGTCTGTGTTGCCTTTACTTGCCCAGTGCGGGTACCTCCACTCAGTGTTGATGTCACTCAGTATTTAGGTCACATAAAGACATCCAGAGATCCCCTCCATATTTTCATTTTCCATCGGATCAGAATATAAATGGGAGCATTAGTAATATTTTCTCTAAAAATAACTGAGATCTGCTATTTCAGTGTGAAATGTTGCTGGTTGTTGTTTTTTGTTCTTCTCTCTGTTTTTCCTTTTTCACAAGCGATCATGAATTCACAGGCTTGTTTGCTTATTTGGTTTGGGGGAGGAAAAAAGGGGGGAAAAAGAAAGCTTGTGCTTCTCCTCGGTGTATTCTGATTCAATCTGGAGCAGCGTGCAAACTTCTTCCCCGCCACAGCCTCTTTCTGCGTCTCTGTTTGTCCTTCAGCTGCGCGATTTGCAGAATCAGTAGAGGCTTCTTAGCATTAAAAAAAAAAAAAAAAAGAGAGCGAGAAAGAGGGCGGCGGGAAGTCAGTGATTCTTTTAATCTTCTTCCCAAAATCTAAGATGCACAGAATTTTGACAGGGAAATGAAGTCTCTGGAAAATGCCACTTGTTTTATAGATGGTCAACTCATTACTTTTACTTTCTTTTCTTTCCTTTTTTTTTTTTTCCGTTCAGACATTTGCCACATTATTATGTATCACTTTAATTAAATCATCAAATTGAATTACTGGATCTTTTTTATTTTATTCCATTGTGTCCTGAGCAGGTTTAGTTAAATTAATAAACCATATGCTTCATTTTATATAAAAAGGAGATTTCTTTTTTTCACATCCGTCAATTCAAAAGCAGTAAAAATAGCAGCTGAACAGAAAATGTTGGTTATTACTTAATTACAGCAGGTTCTTCCCATGCGTCTCAGAATAATTGGAACAAAGTCCTCCTAAATGATAAAAAGTTTGTCATATTTACTGTGAAATTGGAAATTCAGTCTCTTTTTAGCCAGCTGTGACCATGGTTTGTCCAAGCCATGCAGTGGCTCCAATATTAGTATTTGTCTTGGCGAAGTCATTGGAGTCACCCAGCTGCTTAAAGGTGTTTATGACCTTGGTACATGGTCATGGAGGGAGGGATCTTCTAACTGGAAGCCTCTGAGTAGCTCTCGTGTTTCCCTGTGGGAAGCACCTGCCTCTGTGACTGTCATGGACTGTTCTGAACAGCTCCAGAGCGGGTGCTGAGGAGTCCCGTGGAGTGGGGGCTCGCTCAGTGGGTCAGCAGTGGGGTCACTGCGATGAAGTTAGACCTCTTCAGTATATCCCTTGTGAAGGTTACCTGGCTGAATTATCTCTCAAACAGGTTAATGCCTGATTACCTCCAAAATATCCATCTCTGGATATCCTTCTGGAGCAAGAAGGCTGGATAGCTTCCTTTTAGGGCTGGATGGTCCTTCACCAGGGACTCCCACTTCTGATAGGCTTTGGTAGGCTTTGATTAGGTGGATGGTAGAGGTTGGCCAAGTATTGGAGAGTGATTCTGTAATGGTAAGGAGCTTCCAAGGGAGCAGTGTATGACTTACTGGAGCAATTATCAATGAGGAGGTGATTAAGTAAGAATTGATTTTGGCTATCTCATCCGAAAGGGAGGAGCACAGAGAAGCGCACCAAGGATCGTGGAGCTCCTGGTGACAGCAAGAGCTCTGGACCATGCATGAGACATAGTTTGAGTCTAGCAGCAGGCTGAGGTGTCACTTCTGGCTTTGTGGCAGAATGCAGCTTTAGGCCCTTCTGCTCAGCATAAGTGGAAAATTTTACTTGTTTTGTCAATAAACAAGTGATTAGAGGTACAGCAGGATTTGCTTTGCTGGATCGTTCTGTGCCGAGCAGAAGGATCTGCTGCAAAACTGTCACTCGTAGGGAGAGCAAACACAAATGATCTTCCTGACCCATGTGTATTTGAGGAATTTATGTTTCCTTGTTTCGTGCAGGCCAATTCCAGAACGTGGCTTAAAACTGCACAAATGCATTTGATGAGCTTTTTTCCATTGTACTGGTAACATTGGTGTCTGCAGAGTTTAAACATTTTTATTTTGGAACCGTAGCTATTTCAGTGATCTAACAGCAGAGTTAGTCACATGAGCAACCTGAAATTCCAAGCCTAGGAATAGACATTTTTCCCCTTCAGAGCAGCCAAGACCCTTTAAAAGTGAGATATATCCAAATATACACCCTGTCACTTACCTGCCGAGTGCAAATAAGATGACTGTGTTGGCTTTAAATGGAAAAGTAGTCTCGGGAAAAATAATTCTGCCAACGGCGGCAGTGTGATGGGTTGGGTGACTCGCTGACTTTTCCTGGCAGAAGAGGCCAGCTCCTTTGCCACAGTACATGCATTTGGGTATCATTTCAAGTGCTTTTTCTTGGTTCACAGTTTATATTTGGAAAGGAAATGTGAGAATCTGTGCTGAATTGTGTATTTTAAACACGATTTTTAAAGCTTGGAAAAATCTACACTCTTCCATAGTTGGAAAAATGCATTATGTGCTTTATAGGTGGCATATGAGTGCCATCTAGTGTTCTCAGTCGTACTTTGACCTCTCTATTTGAGTTGCTTCAAAAGTGTTTTCTTAGCACTGTGCTCAGCACCACACTCCACTGCAAAGTGTATGGGCCAGGGTGGTGCCCCAGATTGGGCGTTCCTGAAGCGGTTTAGGTTTTGTAACTAGGCAGAAGCTGTATTTTGCTCTCTAGTTAAGCCATTCCTGTCCTGCTTTGACCACTGCCTTCACCCTGGTGAAGAAGCACCCTCTCCTTCCTCAATCTGTGGACGGGGCCAGAAAGCCAGAGCCTTTGGAGGCCACCCAGGGGCTCCCACACCTGCAATGAGAACGAGATGGCCAAGGGTCCTCAATCTGCGGACAGGGCCAGAAAGCCAGAGCTTTTGTAGGGGCTCCCGTGCCTGCAATGAGAACGAGATGGCCAAGGGCCTCTTACAAGTGCTGCTCTTTGTGCAGGGAAGCTGCAGCTCGGGTTTAGGAGGACTTCTGTAGGTTCAAAGGCAGTGTTACTGAGTGACCAAGATAAAGTATATGTGCAAATGTCAGAATTGAAAGTAAATGGAGAACGAAACAACCTGCCTCCAGAGAATGGATTCACTTTACTCCAGAGAGCAGAAAGCAGCTGCAGGTGGTATTAAATCCCATTGGTCTCAGTGGATTGCAGCTTAAGCTACTACTGTAGGCAAGGCATTAAAAAATAAAAAGACTGGCAGTTAGAGTGAAGTACAGTTCTCCCTGTTTATTCTCGGTTATTTCAGAGAGCTTCATATTTGTTCCTTCTTTTTTAGCTTGCAGCACTCCTCCCGTCAACATGAAAGTGCAGCCTGTGAACAGAACAGCGTTGCTTGTAACCTGGAACCAACCAGAAACCATCTACCACCCTCCTATCATGAACTACATGATCTCCTACAGTTGGACTAAAAATGAAGATGAAAAGGAGAAGACTTTCACCAAGGACAGTGACAAGGACCTGGTAAAACCACAGCATCAACCACTGACTTATGTCTTGAGCTGTCCTTTTAATTGCTATTTTCTCAATAGAAGGAAGAAGAGTAGGAAATCTTTTGTTACGTTGCACATAGGCTAGTGTTTGACTTGTGGGGAATTGCTTTTAAAGTGTTCAGCATTAGTTGAAGATTGCCCAGTAGACCACTGCCCAAAACACTGGAGTGTAAATTTATAGTTTATGTGTTTAAAGGACTAAATCTACAGGTACCTTTTCAAATACTGTTGTGAAAAAATAGCTAGCTCAGGAAGTAGTCAGACCCTGAGTACCTTTTGGCTCTTGTTCAGCTCTCAGATTTCCACAGTAGATGCCTAATCCCCCAAAATCAAGTTTGTCGCTGTGCAAAGCCCCTTGCAGGATTTGGAACAGTTTCTGATCACTAAGTGCTGCCAGTAGTAATAGTTGCACGGTCAGAGCTAGAAGATTGTTGTAGAGTGGCCTGTACAAATGTTGCTTCAGTCTGACTGTGAAAGAGAGGGAAGAACAAGATGGTCCAGCATAGATGGAAACACCAGTCTATGCCCTCCATTTAGGATTTGATCTGCTTGTCATTCATGTCTAAGTGGAAGCAAGTATTGTACCGGCCTTTAGCATTCTCTGCATATAAAATCAAAGTGACATACTCAGGTTTGAAAGGCCTCCGCTTATTGTTAATCAAAGAAAGCCTCTAGAATAATGAAATCAGTAATTGTATATGCACATAAAAATGCAGCAGCACAGAGTGTTATTCCTAATGACTGTTATCATATTTTTTTTTCAAATACACAGTCCTCTGGGCCCATTCAATCAGTTAGACAATAATACTTCTCTTATTCCCTTAGATGAAGATTCTTTTACTTCATTTCCATTTATATTTTCAATTTCCCCACTAGACATTGTTATCTGGGTCACATTAGGGAATGATGTGCCTCATGAAATCAGAAAGGAATCTATTGAAAGGCACCCAAGGTTATGATGTATTGTAATCTCTCTCTTGTCACAACTCCACACTCCTAAGGAACACTTTTTTTTAATCATTAATAAGGAGGAGAGCATTAATCAGCAAAAACGATGTGTGCACAGCCTCAGCATCCTGTTTTATGTAAAAGAAATAATTAAATGTGGAGACGATGCAAGGAGTGGTAGCTTGGAAATAGATTGCAGTGGAGCTTGGAGGTTAAGGAAGCAACAAGAGTTTAGTCTGCTTCCAGGGCAAGAGGAGAAGGGAGCTCTTCATCAGAGGAAAGTGCAGTCCACTTCCAGTGCCCTGGCAGAAACTGCTGGGCTGCCCCATCATGAAATAGAGTTGGACAGAGTGTTCTCAAGGGGCTCCCTGCTGCTACAGGTGCTGTCTGCTGCAAGACACGAAGTGACCTGGTTGTGGACTCAATGGCACCCACAGGAGCAGTGTGAAGCAAGTCAGTGTCTCGGGTTCAAGAGGGTGCAGGGGCATCCCAGCCCAGGGTGCTGAGCCATCACTGTATGGGTCACCATTGCTAATTGCCATAGCCGGTTTGTTGCAGAATGCACAGTGGGTTTGAACATATGGTGACTTTCCAGGGCTTATCTCAAGATGGGAATTTGTACCCAGGAAATCTTCATTTTAATTCCTGTGAGGTTGAATAATTTGAGGGTTAGGGTTTGCCAAAGAGAGCAGAGATTTCAAGCATGAAGCATGAGAGTAGCTGTGGGGAATGCTCATTTCTTCCCCATGGGCAGAGCCAGCAGAATGTGGGTGCAATGCTTTGGTCCCAGGGAAATCCTTTGACCTTCACCTGGGCTTCTCCCAGGGAAGCAGTGACCATTCCCCTTTAGATATAAGTTTGTCTTACATGGTACAAATATCCTGTGTTAGCTCAATGCTTTATATATTGCAAACTAATCGTGGACAGTCCTGTGGGGTAAAAAAACTGAATAATATCTATTTTTTTTAAACAGAAGGCCATCATTAGCCATGTCTCACCTGACATCCTTTATCTGTTCAGAGTTCAAGCAGTTTGCCGAAATGAAATGCGTAGTGACTTTAGCCAGACAATGCTCTTTCAAGGTAAAAAAAACAACAAACAAAAAATGTATTTTTAAATTAAGTGACTTAAATTAAGTGCGTGTTTAACATTTTCTTTGCAGAGTGCAGTACTTTGTGGATTGATCTCGGAAGGTGGTTGAATGCATGTAGACAATACCAATTTCATACTGTGGCCTGTGACTTCAGCAAAGTCTTCTTTCTAATGCTGACAGTTGGCCTGTTGGAATGGTGTGTCTGCTCTATGAGAATGCATAGGTTTTTCTCACGAGTTTTATAAAGCAAATTCATCAGTGACTCCTTATGCATCAGATAATCAGCTATAGCAGAACAAGAATCTGATGGCATCTGTGTTGCATGAAGGGGAAAGGAGACCAGTCCCACCTTGACAACCATATAGAGAGATTCTCAGGTGTTTACCAGGCACACAGCCACAGTGATTTTCAAAATACACATAGTTAAATGAGAGCTAAAGAAGGCAGGCAGGAGTTAGAAATTTGACCTTGTTCAGCAGATAATAAAAGGGGAGATTCTCTTAAGTTTGACTGTGATAACCATTTAGTTACGGTTAAAAGCCAAATATTGACACTTTTGTCAAATATTCCTTGTGCTCTTTTGCTTTTCATTCAAAAAATTGGAAGTGACAACCCTATTTGCAGTAGGAGTAGATATTGCATTTCCTTCCATGTCTTCCCCTCAGAATAGCTGTTCTAATATTTGTGTGTTCCAAAGATTTAGCTTAAAAAAATCAACTCAAGCTCTCAAATCATTCTACAGAGTTTCAATATTGTTCTCAAGATAAATAGCAATGAGTAAAGATAGCGTATCTTTAACAAGATAACAAGAAGTTTCTATCCTCAACTAATCCAGCTTCTTGTGTGAGTCAGTACAGTTCATCCAACTTGGATTGGAAGGAGAACATATGTTTTCTGACAGTAGACTTAGCCCAGCATTTCCAGACCTTAGTAATTAAAGTCAAGCGAATCTGTCTTTAGACATGATGTAGAGTTAAGCGAGTAATATCAAGCAGCTTGCTTAGAGAAGCTTGTCTACTCCAGTCTGACACCACCGATCATATTTTGGACTTTGCTGCGTGCAACAGGCCTTTTCTGGTGTGTCCCTTCCAAGTCTGTGGTGACCAGTTCATTTGCAGGCCTCCGTTTCTTTTCTTTCTTGGCACGTTTGGTCATAGCAATGTTCAGCAACTGTTTAGCAAAAATTGTGTTGCAATGTCGTTGTTGCCTCCTGTCCCCCTCTCCTCGTCTGCTTAAATGTTGTTATTCTTTCTTTCTCAGCTAACACTACTCGAATTTTCGAGGGGACCAGAATTGTGAAAACAGGAGTGGTAAGTTGTGGATGTAAATCACTGCAGTGAGTTGATGGGCGTTTGTAATTTGTGGTGACGTTCCCACCAGGTGGCAGCATGATGTTGTAAATCTGCGGCAGGACCACGATTTCCGAAAACTCTGTGCAAAAGGTTTCATAACCTGCATAAAATCTTGGCGAGATTTTGACTTTCTGGCCTCCGATTCCAAGAAGGTCTGACCACTGGAGGATTGTGTTAGAGAAAATTCCAAAATATAGATTAAGTGCATATAGAAGGGATATGTAATCTTAATGATGACAGTGGAAATGAATTTCGTTTACTGTGTGATCAGAAGTGTATATACATATGTATTTATGCTGTGTGTGTGTGTGTGTATACATGCATATATACATATATATATATATAAAATGCCTCATATACAGCTTCTTTGCTCTTCCAGTGCTTTAAGGATATCTACTGTTGTATTATCAGTCACTAAAGCTGACTGGTATATGCCAGAATCAGAAATACTGATATTTTTACTGATATTTATTCCAGTAAAACTGGAATACACCGTTTCAGTTTCGCAAGCATCTGGTTATTTAACATCAATCATCCATAGCCTTAAATTCTTGGCACTCATTTTACTAAATTGTTCAGTCAAATGTATCGGGCTGAATTCATGCTATTGAATTTTCTCTACTTTTTTTGTTGTTGTTGTTCCATTCCATTCCAGTTTGATATTTTCCCTAGTAAACTAGAGCACATACAGAGCTTGAATTTTAATGATTAATTCTAGATGTACAGAATCTACTGTCAAATTTTAATACTCAGTCTAGCTTTGAGATGCCAAAGAAAAGCAAGTCTCACAATGCCTTAGGGGCTCACACTGATAAGTATCAGAAAGTTTAGATGCTTATTTAAAGTTTTGGCTGGAAATCTCTAAAGCACATGTTTTCTTTTGAGATCTCAGGTTCTCTGTGATTGCAGCTGGTCAAAAATAACATGAGAAAGCAGCCTTTCTTGTTTTGCTGCAGCATTTCAACTACATGGCCTGATTGAAACCAGGAATGGCAGAGCTGCAGAAATACTCTTAAATTACAAAACCGTTCCAGAAGTAGACATTTTATGGTTTCATTCAAGTTTGAGTAGCACCTGTGTTACCCTTGTTTGTCTGTATCTAGTGTGTGCATTTGCAGCCCATGGTCCCCTTGGGGATGCAGACAGTGACATGAGACGTATTGGAGTAAGTCAGAGAGAAGATGTGGTCCAGGCAGTGCTGTTGACTCCAGCTCTCTTGCAGAATTACTGCATGTCTTCAGCCAACTCACTTGCGTGCCTTATTGCACATGTAGTTTAGGAAGGTGAATTACTTGTCTCACTCTTTGCCAAGGTGTATACCAGGCTTTCTTATTTCACAGAAAGCATCCATGTACAGACATGGAGCATGCACACGCTTAGTTGACTAGCTGGGTTGCACTAAGCTACCCAGCGAAGAGAGCGCTGCAGGATGGGACACCCTAAACCCACGCTTGGCCACCAGGATCCAGCCATGCTGGTAGCTGCCCTGGCAACTTTGGCTGGCAGAAAGGCTCCAAATCTCCTCCAAGCCCTTCTCCACTTTCCAGCTGGACCTGCAACAGGTCTTCTCTAACAAGTGCTGATCTTGGAAGATAAGCTCCCAGAAAACTCTTAGAAAATAAAAATAATACCGTTCGAGGCCCTAGTAACATGCGTGGGAAGTCCCAGAGCTGCCTTGAGGAACAGGCCCACCAGCTCGAGCAACACAGCTCGTATTTTTGGATGATGCTTATGTAACGCCTTATTTTTAAACTTCTGAGGAGTAGAGAGTGAGTAATACTGCCAAACTCGTTAAACATTCTCAAATTCCCCCCCACCCTGAGACGAAGCGTTGCTCATGAGTAGCCAGCAATGTGGGTGGAGAAAGCCCTGCGGTAAAGTGAAGATAAGGCTAAAGACACTGTGATTATAATGATCACTCTGAAATGGCAAACACGGGGCCGTTTCCTCCCATCACCACTTGCCTCGCGACTGGGTGGCTTGTGCTTCTTCTGGGTCGGTTTTCTTGGGCGTACGGCCGCTTTTCTCCCTTGGCGAGGCTGCTGAGTGGCACAGCGGGCGCGCGAAAGCCCAGGCTGAGTGTCGGGGTCCCTGCTGCTACTGATGCTCTCCGCTCTGTTCTTTTTCCCCTTCCCTCCCCTCAAGCCCACGGCCTCGCCGGCCTCCTCAGCCGACATGGCGCCCATCAGCTCCGGCCCCTC